CACAGCATGTACAATGTAAAGACTTTTCAACCTTTAGAAACCACATTTCTGTCTTAAACTGGGAGACCCGAGAGTGTCCAGACCCATTATGCACTGTCCGCTAGGACTTTGCTGTCCTCCACAGGGACGTCCCGGGGAAATCAGGCTGTACCATTTCCTTCAGGGGAGGTAACTGTGGGGAGCCCCAAGTTTACCCAGAGGTGCAACAGATACTCTGTGCTATCCCCCCCTTCATTTGCTACAATAGTGGACCAACCTACAAGTGCTGCCGGTTCACCTGGGAGAGCTGCTGGCAGCCCTGAGGTCTTGTGCTCTGGCCACAGGGAACAGAGGGCTAGAGAGACTGACATCTCAGGGTCCGAGAAACAGAGGAGGACGAGGTCATGAGTCTGGGTTCTGATTACCAGCATCAACAGGCATTCATTTGGGTGCAGCTTTAAAACCCCTACGGATTAGCCGAGCGGCGCTATGTTAATCTGGGCTGAGAAGACTGCTGCTCCCAGATAAGGAGATTCCCCAGGGCTTTGTTCATGGTCCGATGGGGATTAGACGATCTGCTATTAAAGCTGCACCGAGCTCTGGGGAGGGGTGGCGACACGTCACGGAGGAGCCCGGGAAGGTGCAGCCAACAACAGACCCCTCCATGGCTCCTGAGAACCCGTCTCCTCCCAGTTTAAACCAATACCCCGCCGGACATAAAAACCACTCTCCTGGCCTCGAAATCCACAAACGCGGTTTTCTTTTCCCTGAGCTTTCAGGCCGACACAAGCGCCTGGAGGCCGGCACGTCCCCCGCGGGTCTCTGTGAGAGAGCAGGCCCTGGCCTCCGGGCTGAAGCGCCGAGATATCACCCGCCTGCCGGGGAGGGCGTCTGGAGCGCTGCTCGCAGAGGGAGAGATTAGCGCTCAATGGCCAACACGCACATCTGCACCGAGAGGCTCTGCTGGAGAGGGGATTTGCTGAATGGGACTCCTAAAAGCAGTGACACAACCTATTAAACACAGCAATTAAAAAACGACAGCCCTGTTAAGGAGCTCATCCCCCCCACACACACACATTTGCTGAACGGAGGAGTGTATTTAATAGCCGACAGCCTCCTAACGCTGGGCCATACCCAGGAGCCCCTGCAAGACAGAAGGCCCGCGCAGAAAATAACAGGCAGCAGAGGTGACCCCAATCCTGGCAGGGAACATGGCCCCCACCAGCCTGTGCCCCACCACTCAGTACCGCCCCAGTGCAGGCTGCACAGCAGTGTCTCCCACTTTGCAGCAGAGCTTGCCTTTCCAGACTTCACCCCGCTTTTACCACGCACTGCACGGTGATTTTACCACAGTACAGACTATAAGCACAAGCCCTAGGGACTTCAGTGCCCCAGGCTTCACCAGACCTCACTAACGAGCAGAGTCATGCCAGGATTGCCATGGCGGAGTAATGATTTAATTAATGCAATTAAGTTGGATCGGGTAGCCCAAAGACGAGCCGAAACAGCAGCTGGTGTCCACGAGCCCTGGCCTGTTCCCGCCACACTCCAGCAGGCTCTGCTGAGGTTCTGGTCTGCCGCGCCCCGTAAAGAGCCGCCCTCCAGGCTGGGACAGGGCTTCACCTCCAGCGTCACCTTCAACACGCGTCAACAGACCCGCCGACGCACAGGAAGAATGATGTACAGTAGCGCAGGGCTTGATGGAGCCCGCACGGGGAATTAAGAAGCTTTTAGCGTCACTGTGCTCATATCCAAGCCTCCCCTGAAAAGATCTGTGCAGTTTTATTTATTTAAACTGGCAGCCCTGGGAAATATTAACCTATATAGAGCGAAGGGGCCTGCTGTCAGCCGCGCTTGTCCTGCAGGAGGAACTGGCGAGTCTCAC